TAGCATTTATATATATATATATATATATATATATATATATATATATATATATATATATATATATATATATATATATATATATATATATATATACATATACATTCATTTATTTATTCATATATTCGTAACTGTATTTATTTTGTTATTTTCTTGTTCACTTATCTATTTCCTTAGTCCTAAGCTTGCTTGAGGGCGAATACCTTTTGTTCTCACACACACACACACACACACACACACACACACTGATCGCTATAAGAACAGCCCAGTCCCAACCATTGTAAAAATTATCAATAACTTGTAATAAACCAGTGTATTCACTCCCAGTAAACACTGCTCCTTACACTGTCACTATGTTGAAATGAACTGTAGTTTGAGCTTTTCCCCATCTATTTATTATATGTCTTATTTGTGTCACTTATGTTACTTGTATATTATTTGTAATTCGAAACCCATTCCCCAAATATGTAACTGTATATTTTAAGCCTTCTGGCTGCCAAGCTCTTTCAATAAACCGTTAATTATTATTATTATTATTATTATTACACACACACATACGTTAATCCACATATCTTATATCATTCTGTAATAGGCCTATTGGTAAATTACTTACATTAACTACAATGTCACTTCATATATGAGTGAACAACGGGACATATTCTTCCATTATACAATAAATTATTATCTGCTATTGGGTGTCAGGGAAATTATTCGAATTACTGTAACGTGTAATGTAATAATTGAATAATCATCTAGGTCATGACTTGTGTGAAGAAAATGTTTGTCAAAAACTAGAGCATCCGACAGCGCATGAAAATAAATTCCACAAAAGCAGAAACAAACACCGTATCCATCTCAACAAAAGACCTTAAATAATGAACACGCATTACACGTAGGAGCACATCTGCGTTATTCTTTAGGGAGTATCGTGCAGCAGGTTGACAGGTGTGTTTTAATTAACACAATTAACCTGTTGAGTTACGCGTAAATATATCTGGGGAGTGACGAAGCCAAAATTTACAAGTTGAACAAATTTAAGCATTCCAATGGGTTCTTAAGAGACAGACAGACAGACAGACAGACAGACAGAGAGAGAGAGAGAGAGAGAGAGAGAGAGAGAGAGAGAGAGAGAGAGAGAGAGAGAGAGAGAGAGAGAGAGAGATAGAGAGAGAGAGAGAGAGATAGATAGATAGATAGATGGATGATAGAGATAGATGATAGATAGATAGATAGATAGATAGATAGATAGATAGATAGATAGATGATAGATAGATGGATGGATGAGAGATAGATAGAGATAGAGATGGATGGATGGATGGATGGATGGATGGATGATATGATAGATAGATATAGATAGAGATAGATAGATAGATAGATAGATAGATAGATAGATAGATAGATAGATAGATAGATAGATAGATAGATAGATAGATAGATAGATAGATAGATAGATAGATAGATAGATAGATAGATAGATAGATAGATAGATAGATAGACATAATGAAACCCATATGATAGACGTTAGCTTTTGTTACAGTGGTAGACATCAGATTAAGGTTCTGTTACGGAGACCTACATCAAGTTAAAGTTAAGTTGCAGTAGCCTACATCAAGTTAAGGTTTGTTACGATGGCCTCTATCAGGTTAGGTACAGTTACAGTAGCCTACAGTATATCAGGTTAAAGTTACAGTCGCCTACATTAGATCAAAGTTATGTTACAGTAACTTACATCAGATTAAGATTCTGTTACAGAGACCTACACAGGAGGCACCTCATTGCACTTTAAAACTTTCACCAACGTAGTCTTTGCTCTATTCTCTTGTTCACTGGGAAAACAAGAGAACAAATGCCAGTATTCTTGCAGACACCAACTGTAGGAGCATCGAGGCTACCATAAACCATGAACAACTACGTGGGACTGGCCATGTTACTCGCATGGATGACAGTAGACTGCCAAAGCAGCTACTTTACAATCACCTAACGAATAGTAAATATGATGTTGGAGGGCACCTGAAAAGGTATAAGGATAGGCTTAAGACAAACCAGAAAAGGTGACAAATCGACCCCCTCACCTGGGAGACGATTTCTCTGCATCGTAACGCTTGGAGGAGCACCACACAAGAAAGTTTCAATACTTTCAAGTTAGCCTGACTGCATACCGAGGTAGACAAGCTCCAAGGCCGGAAAGACGCTGCCTCCGCCCCTCCCGCCCTAGATGTAGCCCTTCCACATGTGCAACATTTGTGAATGACCCTGCAAGTCCCGTATCGGCCTCTTTAGTCACCCCAGAACTCACCAACGTAGGTGACATCCTTAAGAACTCATATCACTGTATCATTAGCTGGATGATCGTCATACTCGATTCCGAGTGACAGCAAAGTAGCAGTAGTAGGTGGTACGTGAGGGTGTGTTCTGTAGTGGGGTGATTTTTTTTTTTTTTTTTTTATTGGGCACTCCCCTACATCCTTGTGTAAGGTGAAGCGCAGAAGCGTTTACAGTGCCAAACAGGGAAGCATGCTAAGTTCATGCTTGCCTTTATGTCTCATGAGTTAAGGGCGTAGAAGCCTGAAGAGTCAAGGGCATAGAAGCCTGAAGAGTCAATGGTTTATGTCATCAAGTTATTGGAAGCTCCAACAACTTGTCCCTGAATACGAATTCGCAATTTTCGATTTACACTAGGTACCTACTTTGCTGCTAGGTGAACAGGGACTAATGGGGGCTAGGAAGTATGTCCAAACAACTTCCACCGGCCCGGGAATCGAACCCATGACATCTTGCTTGCGAAGGCAAGAGCGGTACCACTACCACCAGCACCCCCAATGTGGAAATGGCTACTTTAAAATTTTATTTGGCTAACGCCAGACGATTTTATTAATCTCAGAGAGACGCCACAGTACCCTAAAGAGTTAAAGTTATATGACAAGCAAGTTTTATGTACGAATAATTGTAAATTACAAACTGAAGTGAAATCTTGAACAGTTCAGGCATTAACTAGTGTGGACTAGAAAAGTGATGAAATATTACAACGTCATATCACCCACGACAGTCGATTACAGTCAGGTTTTTCTACCTTCACCGCAAGCTATTTCCCACAGCGTCGACACACCCATATAATTAACCTTTTATGGGGGTTTCTTTCGCCTCCCTACTTGTATACACTTTCAGATGCTTTGTTTGTTTTTCTCATGTTATGATTTTTAGGCACAAATATTTTCAAGATATAAACAAACACATCTATGATTTACCTTCATCATCTTCCCCGCTTTTCTGTTTTGTTTATTTATATTCTTTTCTGGTTTTTTGTCTTAGTTGAGTTACATGGCTTCGCTCGGGTGGAGGGACAGAAGTTAGTGTACGAACATCCACTGGAGTCCGAGGCCATTCGCACCTCCCTACCAAATTTTAGCGATCTATCTTTAAGGAACACATACATATTCACACAGAATATATATATTTTCTCTTCATTCTCTATCCTGATATACATAAATCTTTCTGCACTACGCACACATAAACACACACACTCGGACACAACTGAGAATGCATGTGTTTAACGACTACGTAACACATGTCACTTACACACGCGAGAGTTGTTCTACAGACTTTCTTAAAATTGTTAGTCGTCCAAGTAACAGGTGGAGTTAACCAAATGGAGAGAGATCAGCTAGACAGGTGTCTCCTGACTCCCCCTCCGCCCCTTGCTCTTCACCACTAAGTGTTTTACATGAAATGAGAGTGTAGCCACAGTCAAGAGCAAGACCCACACCATCCTCACCAGGATATTGAAATTTGTGTCCCTCGTTTTGCCCAAGTTAGTTCTGCGCTTGTTTTGTGCAGCGTCATGCACTCTTTGTTACATCTTAACCCAAACAATTAATTCATTCAATTTCCTTTAGAATGTTGTCGTCGGAGCTATTTTCTAATAACTGGAAATTATTTTATATTATTGTTCACGTTTATATGACTTTATATTAGTGATCACTCTTGGATTTTTCTTTAATTTTCGGTCAAGATGAGAATAAGTTCGTCTGGTCCTCACGAGTCACACAGTTGCCATCATCATCATCATCATCATCATCATCATCGTCGTCAACTCATCATCACGAACAGCCAATGCCAATGTCATCATAATGTTACATCACCTGTTATCGGTTCAGGTAATCCATGAGAGCTCAATGATTTCAAAGACTACGCAACTGTTACGTCACCAGTGCGTCAGTAGCGTGAAAGGTCCATACGTGGTATTTGTCACGCTGGGAATCACTCAGCTGGAAGTACATCTTACGGAAGTGTCTTACATCTTCCCATTTTGTGAGTTCTCTTGTGTTATTTGTTCTTTCATAAAACACGTCATTTTTTCTACAATTTACAGCTTACACTGATACGAATTAAATATGTTTCTTTTCCTCTGTATTTTTTATTAAGTCTACTGTTTATCTTCTCATGCTGGCAATATAAACATCTAACAAAGTGAGATAAAATAATTACTAATAGGATTTTTTTCTTGACTCATAATTAACCTGTGATTCCTTAATTTCAATCTCCTTCATGTTGACTGATCCTTTTTAAACTTTATTGAATGTATGGCCCACTTCCTATTAGTAAAGTAATACCTTCTTTTGATTACACACACACACACACACACCGAAATTTCATGTATCACTTTCTTTTTATTAAAATTGCACATTGTATCAGTGTTATTTATGGCTGAGTACCAGATATTTGTGTAATTTTACAAATTTCTTGATATATACTTTCAGGACACACTCTCTGTTCCTTCTTATTATTATTAATTTAAATACATTGTTATTTTTCTTATATTCACTACCTATACCACCCCTCTGCTTCTCTTATCCCTAACCGACCCCCTCTACCAAAACCATCCCGGATGTACTCCCTGACCCCCCTCTCCCAAATTGCCCCCTCACCTTCCCCCATTTTTCCTTTCACTTTCACCGAGGAGCGCGGATATATGACGCACTGCAGATGCTCTGGAGTCATCAGTCCACGCCAGCCAACGCTAGGTGACGCATCTCCACACCACACACCTCTATCATAACAGCATCATGCCTGCCGTGCCTTCAGATATTACCTCTGTCGTGTCCGAGCTCACCACTAGTGTGGAGGTCTTCAAGGGTCAGCTGAGGGATGCTTTTACTTCCCTGGACCTGACCACGGTCGCAGCCATTCTCCTGGTTGTTGTCGGCGCCATCCTCCTATACGACCTCCTTGTGTACGCCTTGGCCTCCGCCTCCACGAGGAGATCTCTTATGATGACGCCCCTCCTCAGCCAACTGGCCACCAACGCCTGGGACATGAGGGACGAACTTGGTTTATCCAATATGATCGAATCCAGGTGAGTTGAACAGTGACTGTGTCGTAATGTAGTCACCTCGTTAACAAAACTCTGGACATTGGGGCAAGGGAACTTATTAATAAATCAGATGCGGTTTATATTCCTGGTAACGATGATTTTCATATTTTGCCTTTGATACATAGGCCCTATTTCTTCTTTGTTTTTTGTTTTTTTAAATTAACATTTTTGCAAGTATACTTACTAACAAATACAATCATGAAATTTTAGAGAAATTTCACTAAAAAATAAAACTATCAAGTACCAGTGAATAAAATAAACTTGTTTGTGGCAATTCCTATTCACCTGTTCATAAAACTTGGCTGATATGTCAGTTTAATTTGTGCAGACAAGTGATGGGGCATTTTTTTAATTATCACAGGTTCCAAAGTTTGAAATACATCTGTATCTTAACTCACTCATGTTATAGTTTTCACATTCTTGATTTCTGAAGCTAAATAAAACTTTTTTCTTTGTTACTGCAGGTCCCTAGAGACAGTTTCCCCTATTCTGGAGACTATTTTTATGGCTATGGATAAGTACGAGAAACGAGAGTAGGAAAACAACCCTGATCTTCACAAAGCCTCCAGGGCTCATCTCCAGAAGGCGTCGTCCAGGCTTCAAATCTCTCCAGAAGATTTCCAGGATTTTAGCTCATTCTTGAAGTATTATTTTTCCATCCGTGAGGGGTCTTCACTGCTTCTTATACAGTGCAGGTTACTTGTTGGTGTTCCCAAGAAATAAACTGAGCTCTCTGTTATTAGGAAGTACCGGTGTCGCACTCTTCATGAATGATAACCCAAATCAAAATATTCGTTTACGGTGCCATTCAAAAAAAAAAATGCTCATCTCTCTAGTTCATTTTTTCTGGTAAGAAATATTTTTTAGATATAGTCTTAGAAATTAGGAGTCATTTTCCTTTTGTGATAGTGAGGGTTCCTTTGTACAGTTTAGTAGCAAATAGCAAAAAATATTTCTGAAGGTCCCTTGCAATTCACGTTCTCTCTAAGAAAAATATGACAATAATAACTTCAATTAAATAAACCGTTTCTCTAGTTCATATTATGCTTGTAGAACATTTAAGGAGCAGGTTCTAAATGGTAGAAACTTGTAAGACAATCCTTCTTAAATCATGAACGGTCTCCTCGCCGGTCGATGGATAGACCTCTCGCAATACTTCCCAGATTGTTCTCAACACCTTCATGCTTCTTCACTCATCCTCTGCTCCCTTCCAAAAGTCTTTCAGAGTTTTCCTGTTTGATATTTTTTGTCTTAGTTATTCTATAAGGTGGATAATTTATCAATTGTATTTATAGCATTGTTGAAATAAATGTATTGACTAATTTACGCCTAAGCATTCCTTCCATCCCTGGGAATATTCTCTCACGTTCAATGATTTAGAAATTAAATTGAAGAACTAGATGAGAAAATTTAAAATCATGAAAATAAGAGACCGGAGAGTTAAATAGTGTCTTGTTACCAACAGCAATTCATGATTACAAATCGATAAGTATTTTTATAGTGATAAACGTTTTCGTAGTTAATAATTATACTGATCAAATCTGCCAGCCAGAGAAATAAATGAGATAGATTTATACACACAATGTTATCCTCTGTAACCATCGTGAGAATAGTTTGAACATCTTCAGAATATCTTAACCTAATAGGAATATATCTCTCTTTAGAATATCTACACCCTAAAAGGTAAAGAGTCTTTACACAATAACTGAACCAACAATACAGGAGTCTATACAAAATATCTGAACCCATAACACATGAATCTATACAAATAAATTGAAAATAAAACACTTCCTGAGAGTTCATGAAACACCGAAATCCTGCAATGTCTCAGTTTTGCCTCATCGATAAATTTGTACATTAGAAAAAAATCATCACTCTTAATAACAGTGTGACCAGCAGGTATTATAAAGATTAATACACCCAAAATGAAAAATAATTTGAACGGAAATATAGATAAGCTAAACATAAAGAGAAGTGATTTATACAATATGAGAAATATGTTTATGAAAAATTAGGTAACATATACGAAAACTTGCATTAGAACAAATCCTTGCTATCTCCATCCTATACATAACTTCTGGGTGGTGCAAGAAGTTATGTCAGCATGCACATTACTCCTTCGTAAGTCTACCAGAGGCGACAAGGTGGTAAAAAAAAAAATTACGTCAAATTGTTCCTATAATTACCTGGCTTCTTATACAACTTTGAATGTCCAACTTTTCCTTCAGGTGTAGAGAAGCGCGCGCGCGCGTGTGTGTGTGTGTGTGTGTGTGTGTGTGTGTGTGTGTGTGTGTGTGTGTGTCTGTCTGTCTGTCTGTCTGTCTGCGTGTGTAAGCGGTAATGTTTAAAACATTTATACGTCTGTGTTTCACATATCTACGTGTCTTATGGTCAGTGTGTCCGATCGGAACAAGACCACCAGTACGCAACCGTAGTGCAACATACACTTCGAAAGTCAATTTGTGTTTAACTAACCGAAAACAGGAGAGAGAGAAAGAGAGAGAGAGGGAGAGAGCGCTGAGGATTGGAGAATGTTGAAAGAATAATCCCAACTAAACATCCATTACAAGGCAAGAGAGCAGGTATTAGTACAAGGGATATTGAAAGTTTATTTACCCAGAATAATAAAGAACAACAATTAAAGATTCACAGATAAATATCCGCCTTGAGAAAAATATCTGGAATATTTGCAAGTTTAAATACAAAATTTCCATACCCAAGGTAAAGGTAAAACGGAGCAGCGGAAAGAAGGTAGAAAACTGAGAGGCTGAGGGAATATGGGGGAGGCGGTACAGTACACAGCTGGTAAGAGGAGAAAGTTTAGGCTGGGACAATGGTGTACCACAAAGGTAATGACGGACCAGCCTTAAGCACCAGCAACGGTCCTGGAGCGATCAAAAAGGTTGTTTGTTTCTTTTTTTTTGTCTGTTTGAAAATAAATCAATAATCAGTTGTCTAATGAAACTATACGAAACACACACAGGGGAGAAAAATGAGATACAATATCTATCTATATATATATATATATATATATATATATATATATATATATATATATATATATATATATATATATATATATATATATATATATATACACACACACACACACACACACGAGTCAGACAAATAAAGGACTTACACTGTAACACATGGATACGTCAATGTGACGTCGATGTGACATTATGTAAGGAAGTCGACTGCAACTTACACAAGGAGCAAAAATAAGAAAAATCTTTCACTAGTTCACACTAAAGGGGTCCCGAAAAATGTTCCGATGAACACGAAATGGTAGAAGATACTTAAAAGAAATTCCTATATACTGCATATAACATTTATCCCACTTATTTTGGCTAATGAGAAATATAGTTTAATTTTGATTAAATCCATCCGTTTTACAAAATTCCGCAGATACTGAGCATCATGAGGACTTTCTCTCCCTGGTTTGTAGTGAAGTAAATGAGACCTCGAGCAGAAGCTTAGGAGAAAACGCGACCGCCAAGTCTGGGTAACAGCTCAACACGTCAGCTGTTGGGCCAGACGTTCACTATCTTGTGTTTACATCACCAACAGTACTTATGCGTCGTGGCGAGATGGAAACCCCCATGTAATTTAATGGTCAAATAGTGAAAATAAACAGTAGAACGTGACGGAACTTTGTGGGTGTTTGGTTGGCCAGGTTAGCGTAGCCCCGTATTGTCAACGACTGACGTCCTCATTGATAGTTTATTGTAACTAGAAGGATGACTGTATTTACAGTATTAAAGAGCGTAAAATTAATCTTTTGAACGTGAAAACAATGTAGCAACTCTCGAAAAATTTATTTACACCCGAAAGACGTAAATTTACCACATACAGTATCGCATTTATACTTTTTATTAGAGTTTGGTAAACATTGTATACAGTAAGTAATATTAAGTTTTTATTTTCATATGGGTATGTCAGCCTATTTAAAACTCTCGAATACATTTGAGATCATTAAATTTGATTTATATAAAGAAGGATTTCAAATGAGATGATTCTTTGCTGGCGAGGATCACTCACACATATATCTACCGTACTAATCTTTAAATAGCACCGAGCGTTGCGGTGCTATTTAAAGATTAGTAGGGTCATTACCTAATACTTGACCATTGTGAACCTGATCTCACCCTCCTCTGTATATACAGTATACACCTTGTTTGTACTTCTTAGTCTGTACTCACCCCTGAAGATGTGACTTACACGAAAGCGCTTGGGAACTTCGTGTTTTCTTCTTTCCTTGTGGTTATCAGCATATATATATATATATATATATATATATATATATATATATATATATATATATATATATATATATATATATATATATATATATATTGGGAGTGAGTGTCAGAATATATGATGGGAGACTTTAATGATGTCATTCATCATCGCCAGTCAACTGTAAGGTACCTCTAGAGGAGCATGTACATACACACACACACACCCACCTGACAAATATTTTACTTTTAATGTCATGAATGAAAGATAACTCAAAGCAAGATTACAGGAAGCCTTAAAGTTCCTTCTCCCTAAAACACAGATAGAGAGGTGTTGGACCTTCACACATCTCCACCAAACTCGCAGACACTACCTAAGTCCTGAAAACTTAAAATTTTTCTTGTATACTCTGAGAAAACAGGACGGGATGGTTGAGGCGACGAACGTATGGAGAAGGAGGAGAATAAAGAGGAGGGAGGGTGGTTGGGTCGACTGGTAATAAGGGAGGGGATGGTCCCCAGGACAAACGAGACTCAGAACCTTCCCGCTCAGTGTCGACATAAATAAGCATCAGATAACGAACCGTTTTCTTGGTAAGGTGGGGGGGGGGGAGAGGTTTGTTGTGTTTCATTAAGCATGTATTTTTTTTAAATGACATGTACCAATCGCCAACGTGTGTACAGTATACTGAGGCACATTCATCGAATCATAATTTTCTGCAGAATTTGATGACGACGAGGAGGAAGGGGAGGGAAGCGATATTCATACTGATAGATGAAGAAAATAGCATTGCTCGGTGGTGATAAAAATTATTATGGGTGTTTGAAGAAAGGTGAGGGGGGGGGGGTGAAGGTGAGGAGGGAGCAGGATGTGGGATAGGGAGGCATATCCTGGGGTAAATTATTCAAGGTAAACGGGTCATGCCTGTGTTCTGTGGAAGCTGGAGAGCACAGAGAAGAGCGGCGACGCTCTCCAAGTGTTGTCTATGGTACCTGCAGCCTGAGTGATGGTCAAACTTATCTGTCCTATATATAATAATAATAATAATAATAATAATAATAATAATAATAATAATAATAATAATAATAATAATAATAATAATAATAATAATAATAATAATAATAATAATAATAATAATAATAATAATAATAATAATAATAATAATAATAATAATAATAATAATAATAATAATAATAATAATAATAATAATAATAATAATAATAATAATTAACGGTTTATTAAGATAACATGGCAGCCCGAAGGCTGAAAATATACAATGAAAAGAGATGATAAGTTACATATGGTGAAATCGGGGAGTGGATCACTTGATTGACAAAAGCTTTCAATACGAGAACATAAGAAACATAGAGTCAAACTATAGATTAACTTTAGATCTGGTACTGTGGGAGCTGGTCTGTAGACTTGAGCGTAAGTGTATGTGTGTGTGTGTGTGTACTGTATATATAGAAATAAAACAATCAATATAAAATAGGTGCCCTGAAGCAGTGGACAGATACAGTAGATAGTGGGTGAGTAGCCTCCCTCTGTGTCTAGATTGTTACCAAGATAATACACACTACGAGGGGCGGACACGCGGTGCGAACACCACCAGGATTTTTAGAGGTACATAACTGGAGACATAAAAATAAAGTATAATACCGACTCGTTATGTATATCATAAGAGCGGCTGGCCTAAAGTGTCAAAATTGCGCACGAACTGTCATAATTACATGTATTTTGTCATCCTCAGGTAACAGATAAAAATAATGTAGGAATCGTTCATAATCTGGCCCCAGGTAGCCTCCGAAGAGTAGTGGGGTTGGGGGGGGGCTTGTCCCGGATACCTCTCAGGGACCACAACGCCTTGGGGGATGGGAGTTGAAACGATAGATTCTTTGTTAGTCGGTTCTTCCTGAAGTAGGCGCGTTTTTTTATTTGTTTATTTATTGTAATAATGGTAAGATTTCCTGTTTAAAGTACTGTAGTCTTCTCGCCATTGAACGAATAAATGAACCGAAATAATTTATGATAACTTTTATGCTTCATATGTAAACGGTCAACTCAACAACAATTGGCAACTGCTCATGAAGATGCCATTGTATACTATTATAGTTAGCTACTTGTCTTAACTGGTGAAAATTACTGTGAGGAAACTTCTAAAGATCAGTTTATATGAAGCTGTTTAATGACCTTAATTCCCATTGCTGCTCAAAGGTTATACACAACAGAGAAAACAGATATGAGTTTGAAAATTTCTTGATAAAATTATATTAGATAATGAAGAAAGAGCTGTACATGTTAAATTAACAACACTATAATGCCTGTTGTTGGTAGAAGTAATGAGACAACAAGACGTCAAAGAAATTAATATTTCACATAACCTTAAGGAGATTGTTAATGAACGATATGTGATGTTGAAATGTGTTCACCCTAAAATACAGGAAGTATGATCAAATTATCACCTTCAGTAATAAGGATAGTTGGAGGTGGGTCAGCTCTGGATGCTGAGGGACCTGCTGAGTAGTTAGAACATCCACATCGGTGTTTCGGTTGAGCAGTGAATAGTAGTGCTCTTTCCAGTGGTGAAGGAGGCCTTCATCATCTTTACTTATGGAGTTACCATCGGATGAGCGGAGGGGGCTGTACCACGATTAATTGGCCCATAAAATATTTTAATGGAATTGAAAAATTCGTGCATCTTGTGCTGATCTGCAAATTTTTATGCTTCACATGCTTTGTTTTTAAACCAGTCGTTCTTTAGATTGCGAAGTTCCTGCTGGGCCGCCGCTTTCTTCTTGCAGAAGGTATTAGCTTTGGTCCGAGACCGAGGGTTGTTCTGCCAGTCAGTTAAAGCAGCAAGTTTATTAACGATGAGTACATTGATTGCCGGATTATTTTTATCCAACCAGACCTGGTGTATTCTTTCGATCTGGCTGAGGGTCTCTCTGCAGGTTTTTGTCACGAGCGTCGAAAATACTGGGATTTGGGTTGTTTGTTGGCGGGTTGTTTATCAGCCCATGTTCGAGCTGCTCTCTGAAAGCATGTGCTACCGTTGGATCCTCCAGACGCTTAGCGTTAAAATATTTTCTTGAGGCTTGCTGCCTTCGCCGTTTTGGGGCTCTGACGAGCCAATGATTAGTGTTGCAGTGGTCTGAGCCACATATGGTTTGGGGAATAAGGACATCTCGGTGATCTCTTTCTCTGACAATGATGTAGTCAATGAGATGCTAGTGTTTGGATCGTGGGTGTTGCCACGAACCCTTGAACTTGTTGGCCTGCCTAATCAAGGTATTGGTGATCTTGAGGTTGTGTGCCAAATGTCAGCATCTCCACCAACTCTGGGATTGAAGTCACCTCGGATGACAACCTTATCTTCTCTGGGGATAGAGATTAACACTCTGTCGATGTCAGCGTCTGCATCCAGTGTTGGGGCGAATGCGCTGATGAAAAAGACATGGCGTGAGTGATTCAGTGGGATTCGGAGCGTCATGAGGCGCTCTTTTATCCCAATAGGCATTTCAGTTAGCCTGTGTAGTATGCATTGGTGGATGGCAAAGCCAACTCCATATATGTGGTTTATATTCACAGCAGAACTATGCTTCCAAAAAGAGGTATAGCCAGACCACTGTTCTGTGAGTTGACCTTCGTCTGGGAACCAGGATTCAGTAATGGCTGCTATATCGATGTAATACCTAGCCAGCTGTTTTTCATAAGGACTGTTCTTTTTTCAGGACGCTCAATCGCTCATTTGTGCCAGTATCCAGAAGGGTCCTGACATTCTATGGAGCGACCATAGGAGGTTGTATTGTTTGTTTTTGTTTAGATCTGTGATTTTGATTGTGTTTTCGACCGCATAAGGATGACCTTACTGGGTGCAGTTGCCCAGGCAGGCTATGTTTAGGGCACCTTTTCTAGCCCCCTACCCATGTGGGGTGAGCAGAGTGGCTCTTCAACTGGGCTGCTCAGTCGCCCAGACAGGACCGGATTGCACTACTGCCTAGATCCCAGCTCATAAACGACCATCTTATCTGTGCCGCCCATGTTCAGAGTTGTGACTAGAGACTCACAGCAGTCATCTCTGCTAATCGATGTCGCCACCCGTCTGTCGCCATAGAACTTTTGGGGGTATAGGGGTGTTGATGCTGATGAGAGGTATAATGAGATGGATGATGGCTGTGGAGGCTGCAACTACACATCTTGGCTCTCCTTTTCCAGATCCAGTGGTGCAATTAGTGCAATGACTTGGGAGAGGGAGAGATACAATGGACTGCCAATAGCCTGGTTTGTTGGGTTTAGCCTTAGTAGCCTGTCCATCATGCATTGCCTTCGTCCGCTGGTGTAGTCGTTGGGTTCCCATGTCGGTCACCCCTTCCGCCTATACCGCCGTTGGGGTCTTGTTGGAGCGTTCTGAAAGCATGTCTGCCTGATGCGGAGCTCCACCACAGATTTTTCGTCCGGAGTTTACTCCCGTAGATTTATGCCTACCAAGGTTAATCCAAAAGGCAGCGGGGCAATGGTTGGTATGTGCCAAGACGTGTCCAAGTGCCAGTGGGCCTATGTGCCGTCCCTCTGGGGCCCACTGCTATTCCGAGATCCCTTGCTGGCCTAGCCTGGGCCCACGAGGCACACAGTTACCGTGTGTTGCCATGAGGTAACACACACACACACACACACACACACACACACACACACACACACACACACACACACACACGTCCCATGCTTAAACTCATACTTCCTAAGCCTATCTATGCTTCCCCTGCCAGGTCTTCTTTAAATGTTACACAACGAGGACTCCTAAGGAACTCCTATAAATAATGCAGAGCGCGTGCAAGACAATTCTCTCCCACTCTTACACCACATATCAGGAGGCGCTCAGTAAACTGACTCTCTCTACTCTCTGTCTCTGATCATCACCATGACCTCATCTGTAAATTTGAGGAGAAGCTATTTCACCATCCTCGACAGTGTCTCCTGCTCCCACCCGAGATCCCTCATCCGCGAACTGTTGTTCGACACTACAACCGCATTCAGGCCATACGACCATGTACTGATCGCTACAAGAACAGCCCAGTTCCAACCATTGTAAAAATCATCCCCAACTCATGAGGGTGTGGCCAGAAGGCAGAGGCAAAAGACGAGTAAGGATATCCACATCTCTATTCCCGTGGCAAAATATGTATATATATTTCAGAGAAGTCCTGGTGTTCCTCTATTGTGAGGCATCCCTCAACTCTTTTGATGTAAAAGGGAGGAAGGCACAATTACTGAATAACACTTACTGTATAAAATTACAGCACTTTTTATGCTCAGACTATATATGATAATGCACTGCTAACTACAGTACGAACTAGCCTCCCTCACCACCCCCTCTACTCCCTATCCCCCTCACTCAGACTGAAGGGGGCATCTTTGCAAGCAGATCCTAATTCATAGATTGTAGATTGATTGGGTAAACACGATTTTTGAACGTTACTGAACATCCTGATAATCTTGTGAACATTGTCACTGGGGTAATAGCATCACACTCTGTAGATGTTGATAAAGCATATGACCTGGGATGCACGCGTGTCAAGTTTTAAAGACGGCCATCCCAGTTTATTTTATGTTTCCCAGACTAAATTTATAGTGATAATGGAGAAAATGAAAAACATCACCATATATGGTAACGATCATGCCTCTGTGTGTGTGTGTGTGTGTGTGTGTGTGTGTGTGTGTGTGTGTGTGAGTGTGTGTGTGTTTGTGTGTGATCACAAGTCAGGTGTATTACATATCACGCTCGGAGCAAGAGCGCTGAGCACCCCGGCAGTACTGGCTACACCTTCACAACAGGGACTACGTTGCTCTGCTGCTGGCGGGTAAGTGATTAACTCGGCACAGGACATTGCATCATTATTACTATATAATTAACGTTGCTGTGATTAATGGTTTTGTTATTATTATTAAACTAACTACTATTCGGGTTGGTTACTATTATTTTTAGGTGACAAAGTAATATGCACATAACAGGAAACAGAGAATCTACAGCTAACATTCTTGAAATGGAACCATTCATTCCTTATTCTAGGCTCACTTAAAATTAATCCCATCCTCCAAAATTTAACTTATTTAGCCTCAAGTAACAGGGCGCTTACAAGCTCTGTATAGACTTTGGGAAAACTGTACACCATCATTGAAATAATAAAAAGCATCTCTACACGTGCTCGTGGAGTAATCAAAATGAAAATATGCAAAGATCCTGTACTTGAAAAGATCTGACACAATGGTATATCTTGATTGAAAAGTATTTCAATCTTTTTTTGAAAACTTTGTTTTTCCCTTTCTTGAGCAGTTTTTCTCTTTGGAGAGAGATTTGGATGGTGAAGAGTCCTCCGAAAGCACCCTCTCCTTGCAAGAGAAAGTCTAAAAGACAATCCTTATTCGCTAACTCTTGTTTTCACATAGGTGTGTCAAGAAAGCAGAATTTTTCCTTTGATGCCAGCTTACTGTCTTATAGGAAAGATGCGGGTGGTGTGGTTGCTGTGTCTCGTCGCTGCCCTGACTGATGATGGCGTCATGGGCGAGCTGTCACCTCCTGATAAATCCTACAAAATTCTTGTGCCAATCCCGATGATAGGAAGGAGTCACTGGAATATGTTCAAGCCTCTGCTGGAGGCGCTGGCACTGCGTGGTCACCAGGTTACTTGTCCTCAGTTACTACTGTACTTTGGTTACTCATTCATATCCAGTGTGAACCTAGTATAATGCTCTCCATATCCAGGTCTTCAACTGTTGTGTAACACTAATCGGCACTAACATCAGATAGACGCTAGTTTGCACAAAAATTATTCAGAGGTTCGTATTGAAACATGACACTGTAGTTGGCTGTAGTCAGTTGTCATTCACATTGCCGCCATGACTTAGGTCTAAATAGAAGCCCGGATACTTACAGTCTTCCCTACATAACGATGGCTCGCCTTACGTTCTTCCTCTCTTATTTTATAAATCACCGAGCTAGCGTCACCCCTTTATCAAACACTACACGCGCACATTCATCTTACAATATTATCCTTTTTCAACAAATCACATATCGCTGCCGTAATCTATGGAAATTAATTCCATTGGCCTGAAGGACCATTAACACCAGTTGGTATACGGCGCAATTTAAATTAATCCTGTTTTAGGTACGCATAGGGGCAGTTTGGCCGGCACTGCACTCGACCAACTTCACTTTGACCAAATGTAAAGTTAGGTACTATCTCACAGCTGGGTGAACTAGGGGTGCCCCGAGGGTGAACCAGCGACCTATCTAAAAACTTCAAGTAACTTTGGTTACCCAGAAACTTCTTTAATGTAAATATCCCAGGAGTGAAAACTATAAATTTCCACCAGTAAGTTTATATATTTTCTGCTCGTAGGAGGAAAACAAAATCTACTGATTCAAGAGGATGTAGCCATGTTCTTCCATTTTCCAGTAAAAAAATACTCAAATTCAGTTTTATTTTCTGGAAAACTGAAAACCTATGGTGCAAGACAATGTTGGGGAACAATACGTGCCTGCCAGGGAGCACCACATGTTATAACAAACAATTTTGTTTGAAAAACAAAACACGACAATGAAGTAGGAACATTGTGTTTCCTCAATAAAAAACAAGAGAGATGTCTTAAGGGAATATCCAGATAGCTAAGAACTGCACTCCTCATTCCAGAAAGGATCACCAATATGTGACTGGTTCCATATTCAATCCCATCTTGCGAAAAGTTCATATTCTGATAAAATATGCTGGTGCTAAGAGGATACATGATGCTGGAATAAACAATTACTCAAAAGACCATGTAATAATGGCATAAAGTTCCAGATGTTCATGAGTTAATGGTGTATGCAAGTCACTATCTAGAAATCATATGATCAAGATAATTTCCTGGGTGACTTTATAGAGCAACAGTAATCCCAATCTTCAACACGAGAGGTAATAGAGACTTACTCAGTTAGCTGAGACGCAAGATTCCCGAGCAAGTAAAAAACAACGATAACGGATACATAAAACTGAAAAATACAAACCACAATTAACCTTTACTCCCATATTTTTTTTTCAAAAATGTCAAGGAGAAAGTAAAAAATTAAACTGCGTTACGTATTAAAAGGATCTCAATGAAGTATTTGTTTTAAAGTAAAAATACTTATTAGGTGGAATATGATTAAATAATGACTATGAACCATCAGTACAATAGTACCTTTAGAAGTGTTCTTAGGAAATGGCAACAGTTTCTGGTGCGACAGAAACCAACCAAACCTAAACAAATCACAAGATTTATGAAATCATTTAGTTTGATTGAGTTAATTCTTGTTGTATGTCACCATTAGTGGCTTAGACCTTCAGCCTTCCTGGGGGAGTTTTTATGACAAGATCATAAAGTTCTGAAGGAAAAATTTATATTTTTCACATTACAAACATTTTTTCTTTCTCTACTATTGGATAACCATCCATGCATTGCAACAAATGTGTCCACAAAAAAATAAGCCCCCCTTAAAAATCAATAGATAAATGGTGAGGTGGCAACCCTCTCCTTAACCTTTACCAACAACTGAACTACAGGGACAACCATGATACTAACGATGTTTTTAGTTAACGACAAAAATTAATAAATAAATAAATAAATAAATAAATATATATATATATATATATATATATATATATATATATATATATATATATATATATATATATATATATATATATATATATATATATATATATATAATATGTGCGTGGGTGTGTGTTCGCACACAGGGTGGTGAAATGCAGCTACTGTGGCTACAGTATGTTGGTGTTAAGGTGGAAGCACTGCTTGCTTCCTCTCGCTTTTAGCTACCGCCGCTGGCTAGCCCTCATGGCAAACAGGGAAGCAACTTGCCTAAGTCTTCCCCTGCCAGTACACAGCCTTTCATCGTCAAGACTCCAGCTGTGCCTCCTCGTGGCAAAACACGTAACTACGTGCCTTGGGGGCCCAGGCTAGACCAGCAAGGGATCTCGGAGTAGCAGTGGACCCTAGAGGGACGGCGCACAGGCCCACTGGTATGTGGACACTTCCTGGTGCCTACCATCCATTGTCCCGCTGCCTTGCGGATTAACCCACGATCCAAACACTAGCATTTCATTCACTACAACATTGTCAGAGAAACAGATCGCCGAGATGTCCTCATCCGCCAAACCATATGTGGCTCAGACCACTGCAACACTAATCATCGGCTAGTAAGAGCCCCAAAACGGCGAAGGCAGCAAGCCCCCAGAAAAGATTTTACCACTAAGCGCCTGGAAGATTCAAACGGTAGCAGATGCTTTCAGAGAGCAGGTCGAACATGCGCTGATAAACAACCCGACAACAAACAACCCAAATCCCAGTGCCGAATGGGATATTCTCGACACTGTCAAGACAAAAACTTGCAGAGAGACCCTCGGCCAGATCAAAAGAATACGCCTAGACTGGTTTCATGAAAATGACCCGGAAATCAATGTACTCGTCGATGATAAACGTGCTGCTTTAACTGACTGGCAGAACAACCCTCAATCTCAGACCAAAGCTGATACCTTCTGCAAGAAGCAAGAGGTGGCCCACCGCGAATTTCACAATCTAAAGAACGACTGGTTTAAAATAATGCATGTAAAACACAAAAATTTGCGGATCAGCACGATATGCGCGAATTTTTCAATTCCAATACAACATTGTATGGGCCACTCAATCGTGGCGCAGGCCCTCTCCGCTTAACCGACGTTAACTCTAATTAAAGACGATGAAGGCATAATTCAGAGCTGGAAAGAGCATTACCATTCACTGCTCAACCGAAACACTGATGTGGATGTCCTGAATACCCAGCTGGTCCCTCAGCATCCAGAGCTGACCCACCTCACCTATCCCCATCCCTGGATGAGGTAGCTACTGCCAGCAAACAGACGAAAAATAACAAAGCCCCAAGGCCTGATGGAATCCCAGCCAAGGTGTATAAAGTAGGAGGACCTCTGCATACCAGCCATCTCTACTCTCTCCTGGAGAATATACGGGAAAAGGAGGAAATCGCCCAAACTCTTAAAGACGCCTCCATTGTTAATATTTATAAGAGCAAGGGAGACCGGTCAGACTGTGGCAAACGCAGTGGGATATTGCTGCTGTCCGTAGCACACATGAATATATCCCAAGTCCTCGTAAACAAACTTCTTTCTGAGGCACAATACTTCCTCTCAGAATCTCAGTGTGGCTTTACACCATCACGTGACACCAGGGACATGTTCTTTGTTGCCCGCTAGATACAGAAAAAATGCAGAGAACAGCGTCGTGACCTGTACAAGGCCTTCATCGACCTAACCATGGCCTTCGACTCGGTCAACAGAGAAGCCCTATGGCGGACCCTCAGCCGTTTTGGCTGCCCACCAAAATTAATCGCCATTGTGAGGCAACTCAATGATGGCATGAACGGCAGTGTCCTGCACAATGGCACCCAGTCTGAGTTCTTCCCCATCCAAACAGGGGTTAAATGTGTACTGGCACCAACTCTCTTTTCCATTTTCATGGCTGCCTTCCTTACTCGTGCCAGTGCCTCTGGTTTCGTCCCACGTCCACTCTCCATCTAAGTTAACGGTACTACCCACATTCGGAATCTCGGCTTCAGCCTGTCGACCACCGCGAACACTGATGAAGAGATTCAACATCGGATCACATGTACAGTACATCTCAAGCCTTTAGCTGACTCCATACCCATGTCTTCAGCTGTAGGGAGCTGAAACTATCTACTAATATGCACGTATAGCGAACAGTGGTCGTCTCCACCCTACTATATGGCAGCGAGACATGGGTCACATTCAGGAAGCACCTCAAGGCACTAGAAGACTTTCACCATCGTATTCCACGTTCCACCCTCCGAGTTCGCTAGCAAGACAAGAGAATAAATGCCAGTATTCTCGCTGACACCAACAGTAGGGGCATCGAGGCTATCATTATCCATGAACAACTATGTTGGACTGGCCATGTTACCCGCATGGACAACAGTAGACTGCCATAACAGCTACTTTACAGTCACCGAACGAATAGTAAATGTAACGCTGGCGGGCAACTGAAAAGGTATAAGGATAGTCTTAAGACAAACCTGAAAAAGTGCCAAAACTTGGAGGAGCACCACACGTGAGGGTGTCAACACTTTCGAATTAGCCCGAGTACAAACCGAGGCAAACAAGCGCAAACGCCGGGAAGACACTGCCACATCCCTCTCCGCACTAGATGTAGCCATCCACATGTGCAACATCTGTGATCGACCCTGCCGGTCCCGAATCGGCCTCTTTAGTCACCTTAAAACTTACCAACGAAGGTGACATCCTTAATAATTCATATCGTTGTGTCATAGCTGGATGATCCTCATACACGATTCCGATTGACAGCAAAGTAGTGGTATTTGTGTGTATGTCACAGTAAGATTGTGAAATCAGTATTAAACACTTTAATGCTAGGAGTGGTTTGGTTAGGGTGTATAATCATAAGGTAAAATAAGCTGGTGTTCCTAATCTTCATGAAATCCATATATTATACTACTTTATTTTTATAATATATACATATCTCCACATATCATTAATGGTGTTCTGGTTTTAGATCGTGACGATGCACCCGCTCCCGCCAAAACTCCATAACCCCAACATCACGGAACTATTTCTCCCTAATGTCGGAATCTCTTCGCCAAGTAACCATTTCGAGGGTACAACTGCCCTTGCAGGCAAGTAATGATATCACCACTCGGCTTTCTGAATTTATGTGTGTATGTGTATTCAACTTTTTTCTACATTCCGACTGTGTTTAGTTCTCTTTCTGTCCATCAATCTCTACGCTTGTCTGTTTATAGACAAGCTCATAGGAATATTATAATTATACTTGAAATTGTAACTCTTTCTAGAACATTTAAGAATATGAATAAATATTAACAAATAATGGCATGAAAAATAAAATTAAAGGTGAAAGGTAGAAGATAACATCTCACTTTTCAAGTTTCTCAATTTCCGAGATTCCTCCTTAAGCTCTCACTTGAGGGGAAAACTATCTTTGAAAACCATAATCATATATTATTGATCATTCCAGGTGGTTTTCATTTGTTAAAGGAGCCTCTGACAATCGCAGCTACTCGTTTCTACACTCTTCCAGAGGTTAAACAATATTATAGCAAAAGGAAAGAGTTTGACCTTATCATCACAGATCACCTTTTTAATGAGGTGGGTGATATGTGAATCATACAGAATTTAAATATTCATCTTTTATATTAATTTCTGTTCATTATCACTATATAATTTAGGTATCAGTTCAGCTTCTAACCTTCATTTAGATATGGGGATCTATGAACTCTGCTGATATGGAATTGATTGTGCATCGGAAGTATACCTTCTGCTGATCAGTTTTATTTAAAATTTCCACTGGGATAATCCCAATTCTCTTTCTAGTTAGTTAATTTGTAACGAAAGAATTACTAAGTCAGTGAAAGCAACACTTGTCATCAAATTCTTGTTTGCCATTTATGATTATGAAGTTACCTAAAATTAGTTTGAAAAGGCAATTGCCTTTGTTATGTTATTTCGTAAAGTATATATAATAATAGTTTACTATTTTATTTGGCAGGTTTGGTATATGTTAGTACACAGGGTTAAATTATATTGATATAAGTACATACGGAAACGCCCCCCACCCCACACCCCGATTTTCGAGTCAACACATGATGCGCGAATTTTTCAATGGTGCGGTCCCACTCCACTCATCCGACTGTAATTCCATAATTAAAGACGAAGAAAGCATCTTTCAGTGCTAGAAAAAACACTACTATTCCCTGCTCAACCGAAACACCAATGTGGATGCCCTGACTACCCAGCAGGTTCCTCAGTACCCGGAGCTACTGCCATCAAGCAGATGAAAAAGTAATAAAACCACAGGGCCTGATGGAATTCCAGCAGAGGTGTTTAAAGCAGGAAGACCTCCGATTACTAGCCGTCTCCACTCTCTCCTGTAGAATATATGAGAATAGGAAGAAATCGCCCAAGCTCTTAAAGACGTCTCCAATGTCAATATTTATAAGAACAAGGGAGACCGGTCAGACTGTGGCAGCTACCGTTGGATCTCACTGTTGTCCATAGCTGGCAAAATTATTGCCCGAGTCCTCCTAAACAGACTTCCTGACGTGGAAAACTTCCTCCCAGAATCTTAATGTGGCTTTAGACAATCACGTGGCACCACTGGCATGATTTTTGTTGCCCTCCAGATACAAGAAAAGTGCAGAGAGCATTGCCGTGACTTGTACATGGCCCTCATCGGCCTTTGACTTGGTCAACAGGAAACCCTCTGTGAACTTCAGTCGATTTGGATGCCCACCAAAATTCATCTCCACAATGGCATGAACGGCAGTCCTGCACAATGGCACCCAGTCTGAGTTCTCCCCATCCAAACGGAGGTAAAACAAAGAAGTGCACTTGAACCAACTCTCTTCTCTACATTTTCTTGGCTGCCTTCCTTACTCATGCAACTGCATACATGGAATCCTAAACACCTACTTAGATGCATATACACACTTAGGCCTTGAGATAAACATACGTTAGACTCAGATTTTCTTTCAGCCTGTCCCTGGTTCAGCCACACCTCCACTTTCCATCCAAGTTAACGGCATTACCTTTTCGAATGTTAACCACTTTTAGTACCTTGGCTTCCACTTGTCCACCACCACGGACGTCGATGAAGAGATTCAACATCGGATTAGATGTGTTGAAGCCTTTGGCACACTCAATACCTGTTTCTTCAGCTGTAGAGAGCTGAAATTGTCTACAAAGCTGCACGTATACCAATCAGTAGTCCTCCCAATCCAGCTGTATGGCAGAGAGACATGGGTCACATACAGATGGTACCTCAACGCACTTGAAAACTTTCACCAACTTAGTCTACGTTTCATCATCCGAGTTTGCTGGGAAGACAAGGGAACAAATGCCAGTATTCTCTCTGACACCAAGTGTAGGAGCATCGAGTTAGCCATTATTCATGAACAACTACCTTGTACTGGTCATGTTACCCGCATGGACGACAATAGCCTGCCAAAACAACTATTCTACGGTCATCTAACGAATGGTAAATGTAACGCTGGCGGGCGACGGAAAAGGTATAACAATAGTTTTAAAACAAACCTGAAAAAATGTCAAATCGACCCCCTCACCTGGGGGACGACCACTCCACACCGTAAACGCTTTGAGGACAGTACAAGAAGTGTCAATACTTTCGAGTTTGCCCAACTGCATACCGTGGCAGACAATCGCACTAGATGCAGTTCTCCACAAATGCCACATATGCATACGGCCTCTCGAGTCACCTCAGAGCTAACCAACAAAGGTGACACCATTAATAACTCATATTATTGTATCGTAGCTCAATGATCGTTATGCTCGATTCCGAGTGGCAGTAAAGTATTGTAGTAGTAGTAGTAGTAGTAGCTGGGTCGGTGGAATAATGCGAGGCTCGGAGCCAAGGTCAGTGTCGACAGGCGTACTTTGACAGGGGTGGTCTCGAGACTTTCGCCCCTATGGGGCCGAGAGTGCTCCCATGCGGTCGCCTCCCCACCATAGTAACGGACACTTCATGTACAGTAGGGTCTCGACGAACCAAGTGAGTATATATAACTGATATTACACCAGTGAGACCATATAAATAGTGGCTATTTGTGCCATGGATATATAAACAAGTGCTTGGTGTGACAAATTTTTGTCCATATTGTATCATTCTGACGTGTGGATTGTCGCCCTTCGGGGGGGGGGGGGTGAAGCCTACACACCCACGCGCGCACGTATGCCCCTACTACCTGGACACAGCAGTCCAGACTGTCACCTCTTCGCCCTTCCCTCATAAGAACCAGTATAATCTTGTGCCTGGGACTAAATCAGATGTTCGGAGGCGGACGTAACTGTCGCGCAAGGTGCTGCTCACTATGCCTGGTAACAATCATTGCTGCGTCTGTGCTAACCCCCTGCAAGCGCCGAAAAAGGTATCAGGTTCCAGGGTAACTATATCCCACCAAATGCTGTCCTGTTCGAGAAAATAACAGGAGAGATGGTGTGGAAAAAGGCACTGAAGACTCGAGGAGGAGCCGGCCCTTCAGGTCTGGATGCAAACGGCTGGAGAGTCATCCTCAGCACAAACAAGTTTGGCCCTGTAGCAAGCGATCTCTGCACTGCCATTGCTGCCCTTGCAAGAAAGCTTGCATCCTCTTGCTGCCATCACCTCCAGGCCCTGATGGCTTGCCGCCTTATTCCTCTGGAAAAGAAACCAGGATGTAGACCTATAGGGGTGGGGGAAGTGCTGAGGCGGATCATCGGAAAATGCATAATGGAGGTGGTAAAGGATGATGTCAGGGCAGCAGCAGGGAACCTACAAGTGTGTGCTGCCCACCAAGCTGGCGGGGAGGCTGCCATTCACGCCATGAGATTGATATTCGAGCAGCGTGATTATGAGGCCGTTCTCCTGGTGGATGCTTCAAACGCATTCAACATACTTAACCGCAAGGCTGCACTGCACAACATCAATATCAAGTGTCCAAGCTTTGCGATATATGTTGAAAATTCGTATAGGAATCCATCAGACCTCTACATAGTAAACAACAAGGCTCTAAGAGGTGATACCATCTTACAGTCAACCGAGCGAACAACACAAGGGGACCCTGTTGCAATGGCAATGTATGCAATTGGCCTATCAGTGCTCCAACAAGAAATAAAATTTGAAACAACTGGGGTCAAGAAAGTGGCATATGCTGATGACCTTACAGGAGCAGGAAAAGTGGAGTGCATCAAAAAGTGGTGGGACTTGGTAACATCGCGAGGTCCACAAATAGTGTACCACCCAAACGCCAGCAAGTCCTTCCTCATCGTGAAGCCAGAACATTATGAACGGGCATTGGAGGTTTTTGGCGGAAGTGAGGTCAAAATAACTAATGACGCCATTATCGGGAAGTGCACTGGCACTATGGACTTCAAAGACCGCACGAAAGTGGAAGCGTGTGAATGAAAGGGGTGAGGAACTAAGCTCTGTCTGAGATTGCTAACACAGAGCCACATGAAAAAAAAAAAAAAAAAAAAGTAGTAGTAGTAGTAGTAGTAGTAGTAGTACCATCCCTGAGATCCGACCCTCCTCCACCCTTTGAAGAAGCAATCAGTGTCAAGTTCATTCCCAAACTAGTGAAACACCACGACTTAACCCTAGTAGAAAGAACACTTCTTGCACTTCCACCAAGACTGGGAGGATGGGACTAACTAATCCAGAGAGGAGATTGCTGACTCTGAACATCAAAATTCACTAAAGCTCACGGCAGCCCTCACTGACCACATAATAGCCCAGAATGCAACAGGGGAAGTGGACACCAGCGAAGTTAATAAGATCCGTAGGTCCATTACAACAGATCGGCAGCACTGCCAAAATGACATGTTGCAGCAACTATTGCTGCTGGTTCCAGAAAATTTGACAAAAAGTAGCTATAGTGCAGGAGGTGGGCGCCCCGAACTGGTTAACTACGTTACCGATAAGGGCAAATGGTTTCAGCCTTAACAAACAAGAATTTACAGATGCCATTGCTCTAAGGTACGGTTGGCCAGTAGATGGTTTGCCCTCCCAATGCGTGTGTGGCTATTCCTATGATGGCGATCACGCCATGGTTTGCAAGAAGGGGGCTTCATATGCATGAGGCATGAGAGGTAAGGGATCTCACAGCAAATATGTTGAAGGAAATCTGCCGACGTCATGGTAGAACCGACCCTCCTTCCACTGGATGGCGAGATCTTCCAACACAGGACTTCAAACACATCTAACGAAGCCCGTGTGGACGTCAGTGCTCGAGGATTCTGGACGCGACAGCGAGCTTTTCGACATCAGGATTTTTGATCCCATGGCCGTTTGTCACCGTAACCTAGCTCTCGATGCTGCGCATAGGAGGAACGAGAACGACAAGAGAAGGGCATATGGGGAGAGAATTCAAAATGTTGATCAAGGCAGCTTCACTCCTAGTGTTCACAACCTCTGGTGGATGGGCCTGCAAGGAGCTGATCTCCGAACAGAAGCAGCAGCCCAGAAGTATGTCACAGCCTGGATGAGATGTCGACTGTCCTTCTCCTTCTCGGTCGGCTTTGCTCTGCCTCAGGGGAACGAGAGCTTGCCCCTACTCCGACAACTGATGCAGATATCGACTATGAGGCTACAGTCA